CTATAATTTCTATTTGTTAGATATGAGTCTTCTCCATTGTTTCTCGAAGAGTAGCAAATTTCTCAGTATCTTGCCTTATGAACAAGCAAACAGAATCTTGGTGTGCGTACTTGACTAATTAATTAACTAATTAATTAATGAATGAACTTACGACTGGGTATCACTATGCAGCCCATGTTGGCCTTGGATTTGATATCCTCCTGCTTCAGCCTCTTGAGTCCTTGTGATTACAGATACATGCTTTTTTACCCAAGGACAATTTTAAACAAGGTATTTTATTTATATATTCATTTATTTACTTAGTTTTGCAGTTTTAAGGCAAGGTCTTGCTATGTATTCCAGGCTAGGCTGGAGTTTAACAATCTTCCTGCCTCAACCTCCCAAGCACTGGGATTATATTTATGGGGCATTATTGTTTTCAAATATTATTTATTATTGTAAAGTATTCCCAGATTCAGAATTTTAAGCTATTAAGAAGAAATTTTGTAAACAAAACTTTAACTTTAAAAGATACATGTTTCTGGGGGCTAGAGAGATGGCTCAAAGGTTAAGGGCACTGGCTGTTCTTGCAGAAGACTGGGGTTCGAATCCCAGCATCACATGGCAGCTAATAACTGTTTGTAGCTCCAGTTCCAGGGGATCTGACGCCCTCTTCTGTCCTCCTTGGGCACTGCACGACATGTACTTACATACAGGCAATACATTCATATACACACACAAAAGATATGTTTCTGAAGAAACAATATTTTAATTTTCTTACTCTGCCATTTGCTTAATAAAATAGAAAATTCATTATATATAAATTTGTTAAATTTATAAATATGTATAAATTTTTAAATTTATATATTTATAAATTTTTTATCCTTTTAGTGAAATGGCAACCATAGAATGGTGGCTCTGGTGTCTGCTACTGGTTCCACTGGGGAAGAGTTATGTAACCTTGTAGAAAGAAATCTCTTCCTGACTCTCAGTTGCCTTGCCTCGCAAATGGGGATAAGGACAACTGCTGGGCCCTTGAAGGAGCTCAAGATTCTACTTCCCCTTCTGTAGATTCAGTACAAAGATAGAAAAGAATGCTCTCTGTGTTTTCAGTATTCAAGATCTATGTTAACTCTTGACAACTCTTATCCTTTAGTTCTTTTACTGTTGTTATTTACTGTTAAAGGAATTAGAAGACACAGACTTCAATGCCCCATTCCTGACAGTTGCTAGCAGATTCCTCCCTTCTAATCCAACTCTTTCCTTTTAAACAGTTACTAATATTATATTGACCCAACCAACTGTAAATGATTTGTGCTGAGTTGACTGGTCAATGACTTGTCCCAGATTGAAGCAGTTTGCAGTGATCCCAGGCTTTAGTTTGCAGCATGCTCTTAACAAACACGGCTTGCTACTCTCCACTTCTGAGGAAGAACTGTACTCATTCAGGTTTACACTTTTGTAATATATATAATCACTTAAAAAGGCAATGACTTTGAATAACTTGATCCAAGAGAATTTGATAGCATTTCACAATATTTCCATATGTATTTAATTCATAATAGCTTTATAACATTTTTCCATTTCTGACAAATATTTTTGCATACATATAAGTATATATATATTTCTCAATTTGATTTGTACAATGAAAAGAAAAAAAGAGATTTATTCACTTGCCTATTAAAATCCAGAGCCTATCTTGACCAAATGGCCAAACTGCAACTAGTTTACTTGCTCAAGCTGGGGGAAAAGGCGGCAAGGCTGTGCATTACAAACCGGGCTGGCTTTTTAATGAAGTCCTCATGGTTTTAGTTATTACCAGAGAGAATCATGCTGGAAGGGAAAAAATAGTCTACAACCATGTGCTGCTTAGCCAGCATAAAACCAAGATCCAATTAATTTTACTTTCTCTTTATTTCTTCATTCTGTGCAAGAATCTGATGATTCCTTCCCCACTTCAAGCAATCAAATTTTTTTCTCTAATAAACACAATAATGAACAAAAAGCAGCATCAATTTGTATTACAAGAATTCAAGAATTGTTTAGAGAGCTATAAGGGGTATTTTGAGCTTTCTGTATATTTATGTATTTATTTTTTGGTTTGTTGTTTATCTCTACTATTTGGCCTAAGTCATTCCTTACATTTAACAAAACAAAACAACAAAAGAAACTTTCTTCATTTAACCAAAGGTCTAGGAAAGCACTTGTGTGAACAGCAAGACAAAAAGAACCAAAGCAACAAGTATATATAAAAGTAGAAACCATTCTCATGTTTTTTTTTGTCTTACATTCTAGTTTTGTTAAAATAGTTGAAAGATGGTTAGAAAAATTAAGATCTAGCCTACAGCTCAGAGTACATGGAGCAGTGACTATAGAAGTTCTGTGCATTGCATTTTATCTGAAACCCAACTGTAAATGCAATTGAAATAAAATAGTTATTATACTGGTGTTTGTTTAAGAAACACTCCTCACTGTGCTTTGAAAATCTTAAAATATATTTTCGCAATGATATGTTTTAACCTCTATTTTCTACCATACAATTCATGGTGTAAAAGGATAGTCTTAAGTTTTAAAAGGCAAGTAAACTTTCTTTGTTTAATAGTATGTTAGTGTCTCTCTGGCTCCTAAGCATTTTCTGTGAAAACATCAGCCTTGAACAGATTAGGAATTTTTACTGCTTTGATTCTATCCTCTACGGTTTCAAAGAATTGACATTCCAACCAAAAGCTCATGAGTGAAGTTTCTTACCAAGCCATATGGAGTTATGAAAGATTCCATTCTTGAATCCCCATCCTTGAGCTTCTTCCCACAGCAAGACAAATAAGTAAATTAAGACGATCATATCTTCAGTTGCAGAGAAATTTACAGTCTGTCAGGGGCTGCTCGAGAGAAATTCTCAGAGTGGCTGAAATGCAGCTGAAACATCTGGTTTCCACATCTTTTAAATAGTTTTTTTTCAGCTGTGAGGTCAGCATGTACTCTCCAATGGCATTTTCCGTTGTGGAGTTACACAATTAGCTCAGTGTCTGAAGCAAGCCCTCTGACTCATTTGCATTGGCAAGAACGAAAGATGTAGGATGATCACCGACGTTTTAATTCACTTTCTCAGAAACCAGTTCACTTATTCTGTCAGTCACCAACAGTTTTCTATTAGGAAGTTTATGTCATTTGGTACAGATTCGGCAGTGATTAAAAGAAAGTCAAACTTCATTAGGAATTCTCGGAGGAATCCTGAATGTCTTATTTGCGGTATCAATTTAGAGGTCTGGGTTTAACACTAATCTTTTACTTGACCCTGATAGTATTACATTAATTTTTGATAAATATTGCTGAGTCTGTGTTGAAAGCTTAAAACAAAATGTACATAGTTTG